AGATATACATATAGTGTATCCTAAACAGTACTGGCTCTAGACTAGGTGTCTAAGATATACATATAGTGTATCCTAAACAGTACTGGCTCTAGACTAGGTGTCTAAGATATACATATAGTGTATCCTAAACAGTACTGGCTCTATAGACTAGGTGTCTAAGATATACATATAGTGTACCCTAAACAGTACTGGCTCTAGACTAGGTGTCTAAGATATACATATAGTGTATCCTACATATATAACGCAGGAAAAATATCTGTTGTATAAAATTTCGCAATTGAACACATTTTTGTATATAATAATTGACCTGTTACCATAGCGACAAGTATTTCCGAGACCAAGCCGCCTCCATGTATTTTATACATCAGAATGGTGTTTACGTTGTCATTTGATCTGTATCTTAGTATGTATGTATGTATGTATGTGCGGTATTGAATGTTTCTTTCAATCTTCTAATTTTATTTTCAGCACTTTACTACCGAAACTAAGTCTACTGAAACTACAATGACTTGTAAGGTGGAAGTAGAGGAAGAAAAGAAAAGTCACCGAAAGTCTCTGTAAGTTTTGTCTTTCAAATAAGCAATGCTGCTAGTTTATCCAAATTAATACGAATTAAGCTTTTTTTTATTAGTTTAGTCTAAATAAATCTCGTAGTCTTGAAAGAGAAAAATATTACAGTTACTTAAAGCGTGTAGTAACATTTTTGACCAACGTTACGTTTACAATAAAATTCTGGGTGAAGATTCTTTCAGTTTAAACATAAGTAAATGTAATAGAAACTAGAAGTGTGAAGATCGAAATCCCTGAAGAATAGCATCTATAACTTCAGGTGTTTGACGGATGTTTCTGTTTCACACTGTTTTTTATTAAGTGGAAAAGAAATTACATAATTCATGTTCTGAATTTAAAATTCAGTTTTTTGTAATCGTTTATTATCAAACAAAACAATTAAATTTCTTTTGGTAGGAGAAAGCTACTTTTTGTCTAGTATTATTTGTTACCGCGGAATATTCTTCCACAAAAAAAAACTCATTTATTTTCCCCAAAATCTACGTGTTTAGCTAACAACATTTGATGAAGGTTTTATCTGTCCAATTACTGTAAACTAAAAAACCTTTACCGGTAATAGCAGGTTATTTTTTCCTAAACATAGTTTCAAGATCACATTTTCAATACGCTTAATTGATTTCTTTGTTACTGGTTGCCAAATCTATGCACGTACTAAAGATAATGTGAAGGCTTTGATACATACATGTAAAGGTTGAATGTAAAAACGTACGAAGCGTGGGTATTTATCCAGTTTCATGTTCGCTACTGTGATTCACTGTTCTCTACAACGTATCAACTTTCTTCAGTGATTACGGCGTATAAAAAGTCTGCACTGCTCTTCTGTATATACATAAATAGAAATAAGCCAATTAATAATTATTATTAGACTTGGATGTCTACTTCAATAAACGAATTTTGAAGTTAATTTGACGTAACAATCATATTGCCAACCACAACGGTAACATAATAGTAGGCTTACCAGATTACATTCACCCACCTAGAAAAGAGGGTTGATTAAGAGTTATAAATGGAATTTAGTTTGCCACACTATTTAAAGAATTTGATTAACTTTAAATTTGGCTGTGAAGAAACGAAGGTTCCGGTTTAAATTTCCCACCATTTATATACGACATTGTATTTAACATAATTTAAGAATAGTCGTTGAGTGGTGGTTGATGTTGGAAATGTCCCACAAAACAGGTTAGAATTTTGTTTGTTCTTATTTTCATAATTTGTCTCTATGCAGGGCTCAAGATATGAAGCAGAGATTACGTTTTCTACGCCGGAGACACACAGACAGCTCCATCCAGTCCAGCATAAGACCTTCTCCTGATGAGGCAGGAAAATGGGCAACATCATTCCAGGAGCTTATGGCCAGTAAATGTAAATATTAAGAATACTTTTCGTATATTTATCATAAGTATATTGTTGAGTATATATTATTTTACATATTGTTGAGTATATATTTTACATATTGTTCAGTATAAATTATTTTACATATTGTTGAGTATATATTTTATTTTACCTTTTTGGTCCTTAGTTCTTCAGTTGCTATATTCATATGTAAAATTATAGAAATTTGAAACAGATGGCTATGTATTTATTTTTTATTATTATTTTTTTATGAAATAGTTTTTAATCAAAGTTCGTCGCCCCCCCAGTGGCACAGCGGTATGTCTGCGGACTTACAATGCTAGAATCCGGGTTTCGATACCTGTGGTGGGCAGAGCACAGATAGCCCATTGTGTAGCTTTGTGCTTAGTTACAAACAAACAAACAATCAAAGTTCGTCATATAAAGAAAAGTCAATTTCTAGTCCTGCCTTTAGCAAAAAAAAAAAGAAATTAAAACTGTTAAAACTAGATGTACGAACTATTGAAAAAACCATTCATTTACTGGGTTTCCTCACTGTTAGCGACATTATCGATCATAATCTCTATAACATTTCACAGCTTAAGAAATTTAGCTTAAACTTAAATTAATATACTTAAGGCAAAATAATCTTGGTACTGAAAAGTATTTAGTAACAAATTCGGGAATAATATAAAACATTCATTACTAGTATTAATAAAACTATAATAGTAAAGAAATAATGATTATAAGTTTCTTATAAAACACAATTAGAAGTTTGTGTGTTGAGAGAACAATTAATTTTTGTTGCATGCTAGTATAATGTTATTGAATTTGTGCAGGCGTGTGTAAAGATATTTAAGTCCTAAACAATTTTCGTATTAATATCTTATAAAATAAAAGACCACTTTTGTGCGCATGTCGTTAAAATCACTTGTTTTTGGACATGTCGTTAAAATAACAGATCACTTTTTTTTGGGCGTGTCGTTAAAATAAAAGTTCACTTTTTTCGAGCATGTCGTTAAAATAAAATATCACTTTTGGGTCATGTCGTTAAAATAACAGATCACTTTTTTGGGCGTGTCGTTAAAATAAAAGATCACTTTTTTGAGCGTGTCGTTAAAATAAAATATCCTTTTTGTGGGCGTGTCGTTAAAATAAAAGATCACCTTTTTGAGCGTGTCGTTAAAATAAAATATCCTTTTTGTGGGCATGTCGTTAAAATAAAATATCCCTTTTTTGGGCGTGTCGTTAAAATAAAATATCACTTTTGTGGAGCACGTCGTTAAAATAAAATATCACTTTTTTGGGGCATGTCGTTAAAATAACAGTTCACTTTTTTGGACATGCCATTAAAATAAAAGATCACTTTTTTTTTAGGCATGTCGTTAAAATCCCCTTATGAAAATTGGATTAAACTTTATATTAACCATAACTCGTTTTCTGATTATTTAAGACAATTTTTTCCAGAACGGATTATTTTGTTTGTTTCAGACGGCTCGGCGCTCTTCAGAGCGTTTTTGTCCAGAGAATTCTGTGAGGAAAATATTGAGTTCTGGTTGGCTTGTGAGGAGTTTAAGAAAACCAAGTCAAACAAACTGCAATCTAAGGCCCGAAAGATTTACAACGATTTTATTGCAGTACAAGCACCTAAAGAGGTATTATTTTACACGTAATTTTTATACAAGACTTTTCGAAACATGACAAAAAAAAGGATTTGTATCAAACGTATTGAAACGTATTTGTAGCTCCCTAAGACACGTGTTTCTTAGAAGCTATTTTTAGGATTTTTTTCAGAAGTTTGTGATGATTTAATCACGTGTTTACATTAAAAGTTGTTCGTTTTTACGATTTCTGACCTGCCAACTAAACGTTTAATATTCTTCCAGGTTAATTTGGATTCTACCACACGAACAGCTGTAATGAACAAACTCTCAAAACCAGATCATCGTTCGTTTGATCAAGCACAGGGAAGGATCCAAGGACTGATGGAACGTGACGCCTACATGCGCTTTCTCCAGTCAGAACTCTACCTGGAATTACTTCGGAACGCTGACTCTATATGAAAGCGTTAGAGTCTTGAGACAGTTTTCGGGTTGTTATCCTAATCTCTTGCCGGTTCAAGATGTGTTCGATTTGTAAAAATGTCCTTGGTTATCCATCAAGTTGTAAATACTTCCTATTGTTCTTTCTTCTTCTTCTTTTAACACCCTAAAAGTCCTTGCTCTCTATTAATGTTGCTGGACAACAGTTGCGTTAAGTCTCCATGTCATGCTTACAAACCAGCCTGGAAATAGAAGCGGGTATGAGAGCGAAGAACTTGAAGTCTATTGATGAGACTGTTGTAAACTCAGAAGAAAGTGAAGTCCAATCAAATAAACTTGATAAACCCGTTTTTATTTAACATACGTACATTCCTATATTTAGTAATTATATTTTCCCGCGACTACAACGGGGGATTTGTTAACTTCTTTAAAATACGAATTATTCTGTTAAGTCTACTTAGTGTTTTAGAAACAGATAAAATCCTATCCATAATTAAAACACCAACTGTTATTTTGTCTTAAATCTACTTAGTGTTTTAGAAACAGATAAAATCCTATCCATAATTAAAACACCAACTGTTATTTTGTGTTAAATCTACTTAGTGTTTTAGAAACAGGTAAAATCCTATCCATTATTAAAACACCAACTGTTATTTTGTGTTAAATCTACTCAGTGTTTTAGAAACAGATAAAATCCTATCCATAATTAAAACACCAACTGTTATTTTGTGCTAAATCTACTGAGTGTTTCAGAAACAGATAAAATACTATCTATAATTAAAACACATTTTGTGCTAAATCTACTTAGTGTTTTAGAAACAGATAAAGTATAATACACAAATTTACACATGACATCTTACGCATATGCTACAAGTTTTAACACGTCTAACATTAAAAGGCTAAACCAAAAATCGTATTTTAAATATTTTAAGTTCATTGTTTTAAGTACTTATATGTATATGCACAAAAGCTTTGCCGTATTTCACATTACGAACACCGTTTGTTTACTACAAAGCGTAATTTTATTTTGACAAAAAAAAATGTGTATAAAAGTACAAACATCGTATTGCAGAATTAACTGACTGGAAGTAGCCTTTTCCTTACTACCAACACATAAAACTCTGTCTCGTATAAAACACATTTATGGAAGATTGGAAGCTCACAAGAACGACTGAATATTAACATTAAACGATTATTCTGACCTCTTGTGGTAGAAATGTTGATGATAATTTTTATCAACCATATGCTTCCATAAGTATTTGATGTTCAGTTTAATATAGTCGTTAGTTTTTGATTCAATGATTTTTGTGACTATGTTTGTGTTTATTAGTACCACTTTAATAATAGTTGATGTGTTTTTAATTGTGGATAGAACGTTATCTGTTTCTAAAACACTAAGTAGATTTAGCACAAAATGTGTTTTTAATTATAGATAGAAGCAAGTATACAGTAATATCCACCTAAAATAACGGGTCTTAAAAGATCAGTTTATACATGATATTTTACGCATATACTACACACATTTATACATGATATTTTACGCATATACTACACACATTTATACATGATATTTTACGCATATAATACACAAATTTACACATGATATTTTACGCATATACTACACACATTTATACATGATATTTTACGAATATAATACACACATTTATACATGATATTTTACGAAACACTATACAATGCCTTCTGTTCTGCCTACAAGTACTTGTATATCATCGTCCCAAAGAATTTTGTAGAAACAACGCCAGTTTAAGTTGCTAACAATAGCATTCCTTGATGCCAGTGTTAATTTACCTTCTCGTAACCTCTGTATTTTCGGAGAAGTTTGGATTAGTAAACAAATGTGTGTTTGTTTGGCGTAGCTGTGTTTGAAACTACAAATACAAAATTATTTTCCATATTATGTCTGAGCTATTTATTTAAATCGTTTTATAAGGTTGAAATAACAAGTTATTGCGTTTGTTTTAGTCGTACATTATCTCTATATGTGTGTAATTGACGAAGATCATCTTATTGCGTTTGTTTTAGTCGTGCACATCTGTATATATGTGTGTAGTTGACGAAGATCCTCTTATTGCGTTTGTTTTAGTCGTACATTATCTCTATATGTGTGTAATTGACGAAGATCCTCTTATTGCGTTTGTTTTAGTCGTGCACATCTGTATATATGTGTGTAGTTGAAGAAGATCCTATTATTGCGTTTGTTTTAGTCGTACATTATCTGTATATGTGTGTGATTGACGAAGATGCTCTTATTGCGTTTGTTTTAGTCGTACATTATCTGTATATGTGTGTAATTTGACGATGATGCTCTTATTGCGTTTGTTTTAGTCGTACATTATCTGTATATATGTGTGTAGTTGACGAAGATCCTATTATTGCGTTTGTTTTAGTCGTACATTATCTGTATATATGTGTGTAGTTGACGAAGATCCTATTATTGCGTTTGTTTTAGTCGTACATTATCTGTATATATGTGTGTAGTTGAC